GCCCTCATTCACCTCCGCGCGGCGCACGATCCAGCCCCGCGCCCTCTCGCCCCCGGGCAGTCGGCGCCCTCGCCCACCGAAAAGTCACGAGCCGCGTAGACCCACTCGTTGGTGCCCACGCGGGCCTCCCCGACCATCTCACGCAGCGCTTCTCCCGGCTCGGGCGGCGCCGCGACTTGCGCCGAGCCGCTGGGCACAACGCCTCTGAGCCACCGACATGGCTGGATCGACCGCCTTCGCCGGCCCCACCCCCCCAAGCACCCGGACATCTCGAGCTCGGGGATTATGCCACCGCACCTGCACATCCACATGCGACGCACCCTGGCCTCTGGCCCCTTCTCGCACCTGGGGCACAACGCGCTCGCAACCACGACCCCCGTGTCGGAGACCCGCTGCCGCGGCTAGATACCACCAGCGAAAGACGCCTGCATGGCCCCGACCTTGCCGAACTCCCCATCAGCAAACCCCTTCCACGCGTAGTGCCCCGCTGCCTTCGCCCATGGTTTCCGCTCGACGGCGTCCGCAAGCGCCGCCCCCAGCTCGAAAGCGCCGAGCTCGTCGCCCAGCTCCTCGAGGCCGTCGCCCCCGAAGATCTCGCCGCCGTCCGACCCCCAGCGCCGCGGGCCGCGAGACGCCCGGCCCGGGTCCAGCAGCGCGCAGACCCTCGCCCGAGCGACCCCCGCCATCCCTGGCCATCAGTCGCTACCCTTCCTGGCCCCCATCTCCTTGACGACCCCCGCATCCCAGACAAGCTCAGCTCTGCGCCTCCTCGCCCTCGCTGAAGACGCGCGCCCGGGAGCCGAGCAGCGGAGAAGAACGCGCCGCGCCCAGGGCGGCCCCACCTCAGCTCAAGCTGCAGCAGAGCGAGAAGGCATCATCCGCCCAGCCGAGGCGCGGTCACGCCAGCTAGACCCCCCCACACTCGGCGGCCACCGAGGGCGCCGCGCCGAAGACCTCGCGCGCGCACGCCGCCCGCGGCAGCAATCCTCTATGCACCACTGCGCGCGCTCCGCCTCGAGTCCTTCGCCCAGCCCGGAGCATCTGCATGGCCTTCTCCGCCCGCGCGCGCAGCCCCCTTCGCGCGCCTGCGCTTGCTCTTCGCGACGCTGCCCCCTGCCGATCCCGAAGTCGGGCGCCTGGTCCTTCTGCGCGACAATGATGTTGCTGTTGCCGCTCGCCAGATCGAGCGCAATCTCCTGCGCCACCTCCTCGTCGTTGCCTACGACGGGGGACATCTTGGACAGCACCAGCTTCGCCTTCGCGACGCCCGCTGCGAAGTCCACTCCTTCCCCCGCCAGCTGCTTGATCACCTGGGCCTTCGACCCTGCGATTCTCGCGGCGACGTCGTCGACCCACGAGAGCACGTACACCTGCGTGAACTTGCTGCTCACCTTCTCGAGCACCGCGCACAGCGCGACCCTGCCAAAGTCGATCCCCCTCCTGGCGCCCGGCGCCCGCGCAGAAGTAACTCTCGGGCGCAATTGGTTCCACGCATGCGATCATCTCCCTAGCGAGCCTGCTGCCCAGGTGGCTGAGCATCTCCAGGTGCAAGGTGCGCGCTGGCAGCCCGAGCCTGATCCCTTCGCACAAGAGCAGCACTGGCCCCAAGATGTCGCAGAACTGCGCAAAGTCCCAGAGCGCCATGGCCGCATAGATCTCCTGTGGCGCACACCGGATGACCTCGCCGGCAAACGACCGAACCGGGGCCCCATTCGGCGCGCCGTTGCCTGCGATGGCCGCGTCCCGCTTGCCTGTCATCACCGCCATCCACTAGTCAGTGCACTCATTGCGCAACTTGGACAATCGCTTCACAACCTCTGGCTGGAGCCCGACGGTCTCCACAAGCCTCCTTCCTCAGCATACTCACCAGCGCAGTGAGCAACTGCCACGGCCATGCGCCTACGCGCCCGACGCTCTCCACCAGATGCATCAGCTCCGCGCGCGCGATGGGCGAGAACCACCTGAAAGCCAGCGCCCCTGTTCCACGCCATGAGCCTTGCTCGTCGCCATCGTGTCAACGGCGCGGTTCAGCGCCTCTCCGCATCCAGTCCTCCTCCGTGGCCGCCCCCCTCGCGCGGTCGAGCACGCTGAACAAATGCGCTCTCTATTTCGGACTCGCCCACTCCTTATTCTGCCATTCCGCGCCCTTGGCGTCCGTGTACTCCACCATGGCGTGCGTCTCCTCGCCGCTGGCGCGGATCTCGTTGTCGCACCTTGGCTGGCCAGATGGCGCAGCCGATCAGCGCCTTCCTGACCTCCACGTGCTTGCCCTGCTTCGCAGCGATGGGAGCTGCCACGCCCAGCTGCTGCAGTTGCGCGCTGCTCATAATGCTGATCTCGCTTAACGCTGCCCTCCACTTCCTCTTCTGCCTCGCCGACGTCTGGATGACGCCGCCAATCGGAATCGCACTGACGATGCCCTTGCACGGGCTATGGTCATGGTTATGCGATCTACGAATACGATGATGATGCGGATGGCGACGACGACGATCACGATGATGGGGATGGCGAATGTGGTCGTGATCAGGGTGGTGATTACGATGGTGGCGCTGATGATGGTGGTGATAACGACGCAGCTGACCACGACGATGAGAATGGTGATGGTGATGGTAATGACGGTAACAATGATACTGATCATGATGGTCGTGGTGCTGATGAGGATTATGATGATGGTGGTGATGCTGGTGCTGCTGATAACGATGGTAAATACGACGGCGAAGATGCTGATGGTGGGTGGTGGTGGTGGTGATGGTGACCTCGCGGAGATTGATGATGATGATGGTGTGGATGATGGCGATGGCGATGGTGATGGTGATGATGGTGGATGCTGATGATGGTGACGATGGTGAGAACGTTGATGGTAATGATGGTCATAATGAAGGTGATGATGATAACGGTGATGGTGACGATGGTGAGTATGATGATGATAGCAGTAATGGTGATGATGATGAGGATGGTGGTGATGATGATGAGCAGACCGATGATGGTGATGGGTATGAAGATGACGATCATGATCATGACGATGACGACGACGGTGATACTGATGTGGATGGACCAAAGCGGTGTTGTTCCTTTTTGTGCAAACGGCGGAGGGCGGTCACGAATTCGAGACGACAGCCGGTCGGGCACAGACTCGGTGAAACAGGTCATTCTTTGCGCTCAAGTTGGGCGGGAGGGCCTTGGGAAAAAATCGGGCACAGGTATTGCGGCCACGGTTAGTCCACAAACGCCGACAGGTCGCTGCACGGGGATGGCTCGGGGCCATCTTCCATTTTGCAAACGACGGAGGGCGGCCACGAGCTCGAGACGACAGCGGCGAGGCACAAACTCGGTGCCACGCGCTAGCCCTAACTCATGGCCACGGCCGAAAAACCCACTGACCAAAAACTTGCCTATATCTGGCGGCACGGGACAGCTGGCGAGCGGCGGCCGCCATCAGGCCCGCGCCAGCGCCAGCCACTTCAAAGAGGCCGTTCGCAGACGCTTTGGCGACGGCGCCCAGCGCTAGACGACCGAGGCCCCCCAATGGCGACGCCCTGCGCGGTCGCGCGGGCCGCGGAAGCAGTGGCAACGGCGCGCGAGGAGGCCGAGGTCCGCGACGCCCCCAACCCACCATCAAGATCCTCTGCCTGACTCGGCCAGAAAACACGCGGGGGGCGAGGAGGCAGGAGGAGGGGCGGGCGGAGAGGAGAGGGGGCGGGAGAAGATGTTTCCAAATCAGGCTGGCCTCAGGGCGCACAGAAATGATCGGGACCCCGTGGAAAATGCACTCCGAGATGAGCCTAATGGTGGCAGCGGCGAGGGCGTTCGCGACGCGGAGGGCCCGCATGTCGGCCTCCGCGCCCGTCGCCCCCTCCAGCAGCGAACCGAGGCGGTGCACTCGAGCGGCTCCCACCCTCCAGGTGGCACAAGGAAGGGGGGCCCACAGACAGAGGACCGCCGAAGAGCGGACCCATCCTACCAGAGTCCTCAATACCTGAGGATCACCAGCATCGCCACGACGGTGCCGCGCAGGGTTGATGGCCACAGTTCCGAGCCCACGGGATTCGCAAGCTCGCCGAACACGATTCGGCGTACACGTGCACAAAATGACATGGCCCAGCCAGGCCAGCCCATAAGATGCGGATCCCAGTGAGCAAGAAGAAGTCAGCCGCGATGAGGAAGAAGCCAGCCAGGTCAGTCTGGAAGAAGCGTCAGCTAGAGCGCATGGTTTCTGACTCACCGAGTGAGCCACGGTCCCTGACAGAGCAGCACGTCGTCTTCAGCTCTGACGGTCCACCTGAGGCGTCACACATCATGCCGTAGTGTGTGAGCAGAGTCAGCACGATCAATCTTGCTTCAGACCACTAAGGAGCCAGGGCAATTCACACACGGCAGTCCCCATGCGTCGATTGTGCTTCGATGTGGTTCGCTGGCTTGTGGATGGTACCCCATATGGTGTTTCAATAGTTTTCGAGAGCGCCTGATGTGTTTGCGCGATGGTGGTCTATAATACGTTTAGATTGTCTCGGGGCTGCCTCAGAGACTTGCACGGTCGGCGGAGGCTCTTGCCTCCGAAGAGGCCGTCTCGAGGCCTCTCTTTGGCCGCCTTGCTCCTCTTACTCCACCGTCCATTCACGCATTCGTCGTGGTGGTAAACGATATCGCTCAGCGTCTCCCCACCTCTGGAAATAATATATGGATTGGAGTGCTACGGAGAAGTTCAGTAAGGCTGGGGGGTCAGGCCTTCAGAAAAAACCAAACGGACGTCAAGGAGCGTAACCAACCTGTTCGGTCAAACTGAAACTGATGCACCACATCAGGTGTCAACCCAAAACTTTGGACATAGGCGAATGGTTGGACTTCGCACATCTTCGTCGGCGTAACTGGCGAGGCGTTTGACCACCTTGACGTCTTGTTGTTGGGTGGTCCTGCAGAGCAAGGCGCTCTCTGACCCTCGGCCCTACTCATTCCCAGATAAGGTCGGGGGCGATAATTGCTAATCCGGGTTACTGTTTGGGGTCCGCACTGGGAAGCATTTTTTACCTGCGGCAAAGGAACTACTGTTCGCTTAACAGCGGCGCCCACGCCAAGCCTTCAGGTGGGCATCGCGGCATCCGCTCCGCCACCGTGCCTGCACGTTGTGCTGCTCTGTACCCCCCCCCCCGCCCATGCTCGCAGACACGCGCACGCCCCCCCCCCCCCCTGCTCCGGAGGTCACGACCCATCATACAAAAAACTGTGGGTCCACGCTCCCGAGGCCACGATCCCTCGTGAAAAGAAACGATGCGTCCAGGTCCCGAGCTTCCAAGACGGCCCCGACAGGCAACCAAAATGTCCCAAAATGCCTCGAAGACGGGCCAATAGCGCCCCAAGGCGGCCGAACATGGGCCTCCTCAAGACCGTCCAAAATGCCTCCAAGAGCGCCGCGAAGGGTCCGATAGGACCTCCAACAGCCCGATGAAGGCAGACACATTCTTTTCCCTGGTGCTTCCGCATGGTGCGCAAGATGCTCCCACAAAGGCCCAAAGATGGTCCAGGACCCCACGAGGGCCCCAAGACGTCCTCCCGTGGGACCCAAGATGGCCTTCGAAGGCTTCGACTGCCCAAAACGGCCCAAGACGGCCCCACGACTGCCCCCAAGCATCCACCGTACGGCTAAGAGGCCCCCAAGACGGCCCAAGAGCCCCGAGACGGCCCAGGAGAGTCCCAGAACGGGAAAGGGACCCCCAGGATTGCCTCAAAGGAGGCCAAGACAGCCACAAGAGATCCAAAACGAGTTCAACGAGAGCTCCTCGGATAGTCAAGACGAAAGGTGCCACATGTGACGGCCTTCCTCTTCCTCCTGCTCCTCCTCCTCCTCCTCCTCCTCCTCCTCCTGCTCCTCCTCCTCCTCCTCCTCCTCCCTCCTCCTCCTCCTCCTCCTCCTCCTCCTCCTTCTCCTCCTCCTCCTGCTCCTCCTCCTCCTCCTCTCCTCTCTCTCCTCCTCCTCCATCATCATCCATCATCATCATCATCATCATCATCATCATCATCATCAGCATCATCATCATCATCATCATCATCATCATCATCATCATCATCATCATCATCATCATCATCATCATCATCATCATCATCATCTTCATCACCACCACCACCACCACCATCAGCAGCAGCAGCATCGTCATCATCAGCAGCAGCATCAACAACATCACCACCACCATCACCATCATCATCGTCGTCATCAGCACCATCATCATCATCATCATCAGCATCATCATGATCATCACCATCATCGTCATCATCATCAGAATCACCTTCATCAGCATCATCAGCATAATCAGCATCCTCCGCATCATCATCATCATCATCATCATCATCATCATCATCATCATCCTCATCATCATCATCATCAGCATCATCATCATCATACCCATTATCAGCATCATCATCACCATCATCAGCAACAGCATTTTCAGCATTATCAGTCTCGTCATCATCAGCAGCAGCATCATCAGCAGCATCGTCATCATCATCATCATCATCATCATCATCATCATCATCACCATCATCGGCAGCATCGGCAGCATCGGCAGCATCATCCTCATCGTAATCATCAGCATCATCATAATCGTCCACATCCTCATTATCATCATCATCATCATCCTCATCCTCGTCCTCAGCGTCAGCATCATCGTCATCAGCATCATCATCAAAATCAACATCATCATCATTGTCATCATCAGCATCAGCAGCAGCATCACCATCAGCATCATCAGTATTAGAATAATCGTCATCGTCAGCAGCATCAGCACCATCGCAAAATCAGCATAATCAGTACCATCATCAGCAGCATCAGCATCAGCAGCAGTGTCATTGTCGTCATCAGCATCAGCATCATCATCATCATCATCATCATCATCAGCATCATCATCATCATCCGTAGCATCCTCATCATCATCCTCATCGTCAGCATCCTCAGCAGCATCATCTGCATCATCCTCAGCATCAGCATCCTAATAATCGCCATCACCATAATCAGCAGCATCAGTATCAGCATCAGCATCACCATCATCATCATCATGGTCGTCAGCATCAGCAGCATCGCCATCATCATCATCATCAGAATTCGCATCCGCATCCTCGTCCTCAGCATCAGCATCATCACCATCAGCATCTGCAGCATCACCAATCATTAGAATCAGCATCATCATCAGCATCCGCATCAGCATCAGCATCATCATCGTCATACTCCTCGTCCTAATAATCACCATCATCATAATCAGCAGCATCATCACCATCAGCGTCATCGGAATCGACAGCACCATCAGCATTCGCATCCGCATCCTCGTCCTCCTCATCATCATCAGTATCAACATCTGCAGCATCGCCAACCATTATCAGAATCAACATCAGCATCATCAGCAGCGTCATCAGCAGCATCAGCAGCAGCATCACCATCAGCATCATCAGAATCAAAATCATCATCATCAGCAGCATCCTGATCCTCATCAGCAACAGCAGCATCAGCATCATCATCATCATCATCATCAACAGCATCCTCATCCTCATCAGCATCATCGTCAGCATCAGCATCAGCCTCGTCAGCATCATTCCCTGTATCACCATCAGCCTCATCCTCACCCTCAACCTTATCAGCAGCATCCTCATCATCGTCGTCAGCATCATCCTTATCATCCTCACCATCATCCGCATCATCGTCATCAGCAGCATCAGCATCAGCATCATCATCATCGGCATCACCATCATCATCCTCATCACCCTCATCATCACCAGAACATCAACATCATCATCAGCATCCTCATCATCAGCAGCATCATCATCCGCATCCACATCATCATCATCCCGATATTCATCATCATCCTCATCACCCTCCTCCTCATCATCACCACGACTCCCCCGAGCCTGAAGACACGAGGTGTCACATGCGAAGGCCTCCCGTGCCACTCGAACAATCGCCAACCAGAATGCTGGGCAGGCACTGTGGCGGCACTTGCCGCGGACAGCTAAATATCAGAGCCGAAGGTAATTCAAAACTTCACAACTGAAGGCCAGGGTCTCTGGCAGGATGTGAAGAAGTAGCCCAACGGCCTGACATGCAATCAAGACCTATGGCAACTCACAAAAAATTGAAAACGCGCTGTCTGACCGTCCCTTCTGGTATGCTGAGAACGCCTGATGAGTGGAATGCTTCCTCTGGGCCTGTCTAATCAACGATCTGTTGATTAGCACTTTGGCGCCCTAAATGGGCGCAGCCCTTCATGGAGGAGCGCGAGAAGGACAAGATGAGATGAAGGGGGAAGTGAGGGAATGCGAGACGGGAGGTGAGGAAACGACGACTGGGACTGCGAACTGCTACCTGCGGAACAGGTTGAGCAACCAGTCCCAGAGATTCTGCGAGGCTTCAGAACCATCGATAATGTGTTCACCGCAATCCCAGACTGTCTCGTTCGTCACCACCCAGCCGCCCTCCGTCCACATGGAGTTCGGGTCGCAGGTCTGGTTGCACGCGATCCAATGGTCGTTCTTCTTGTAGCACTTCGAGTCAGGATCGGAGCAGCACTGGGAAAGTGCGCAAGACGCCCCGTTAGGCGAGCACGGGAGACTGATTTCCTCGCAGTCCCAGACTGCCTCGTCCGTCGTGACCCAGCGGTCCACCTGCCACATGGAGTTTGGGTCGCAAGATTGGTTGCACGAACTCCAATTGCCATTTTTCTTGTAGCACTTCGAGCCAGCCTCAGCGCAGCACTTGGTAAGTGCACAAGACTCCCCGTTTGGCGAACACACGGAGGAAGTCGAGGCATCGGAGCTGCTCGCGGAGTCAGTCGTATCGGAGGCAGTCGAAACATCGGTACTATCGATAGTGATGACTTCGCAGTCCCAAACTGTCTCGTTCGTCTTGACCCAGCCGGTCTCCATCCACAAATAGTTTGGGTTGCAAGTTTGATTGCACGAGCTCCAATGATCGTTCTTCTTGTAGCACTTCGCGCCTGGCTCAGAGCAGCACTTGGAAAGTGCGCAAGACTCTCCGTTAGGCGTGCACGGCGGCCGGATCTCCTCGCAGTCCCAGACTGTCTCGTTCGTCTCGACCCAGCCGCCGTCCTTCCACATGTAGTACGGGTTGCAGGTTTGGTTGCACGAACTCCAGTAGTCGTTCTTCTTGTAGCACTTCGAGCCAGGCTCAGCACAGCACTGGGAAAAGGCGCAGGACGCCCCATTCTGTGAACACGTGTTGTTCTGGTCCTCGGCTTCTGCATCAGCGATGGGATCCGCTGATTCGACAGGACTCACGGTGAGGTCCTCGCAGTCCCAAACTGTCTCGTTCGTCTTGACCCAGCCGGTCTCCATCCACAAGTAGTCTGGGTTGCAGGTTTGATTGCACGAGCTCCAGTAATCGTTCTTCTTGTAGCACTTCGCGCCTGGCTCAGAGCAGCACTGGGAAAGTGCGCAAGACGCCCCGTTCGGCGTGCACGGCGGCCGAACCTCCTCGCAGTCCCAGACTGTCTCGTTCGTCACCACCCAGCGGTCCACCTCCCACAAACTGAAAGGGTCGCAAGTTTGGTTGCACGAACTCCAATGGTCATTCTTCTTGTAGCACTTTGCGCCAGGCTCGGAGCAGCACATGGTCTGTGCGCAAGACTCCCCGTTCTGAGAGCAGGCGGAGGCTGTCGAGGCATCGGAGCTGCTCGCGGAGTCTGCCGGAGCATCGGTATCAGCGGCATCGGTGGCATTATCAGTACTTTCGATAGCGATGACCCCGCAGTCCCAGACTGTCTCGTTCGTCTTGACCCAGCGGTCCTCCATCCACATCGAATTGGGGTCGCAAGTCAGGTTGCACGCGAACCAGTAGTCGTTTTTCTTGTAGCAACTTGCGCCTGGCTCAGAACAACACTGTGTAAGTGCGCAAGACTCCCCGGCTTGCGAGCACGGCGGCCGAACCTCCTCGCAGTCCCAGACTGTCTCGTTCGTCTCGACCCAGCCGCCGTCCTTCCACATGTAGTACGGGTTGCAGGTTTGGTTGCACGAACTCCAATGGTCATTTTTCTCTTGTAGCACTTCGAGCCGGGCTCAGAACAGCATTGGGAAAGTGCGCAGGACGCCCCATCCTGCGAGCACGTGCCTTTCTCGTCCTCGGCTTCTGCATCAGCGATGGGATCTGCTGATTCGACAGGACTCACGGTGAGGTCCTCGCAGTCCCAGTGTGTGTCGTCCGTCTTGACCCAGCCTGTCTCCATCCACAAGTAGTTTGGGTTGCAAGTTTGATTGCACGAGCTCCAATAATCGTTCTTCTTGTAGCACTTCGCGCCTGGCTCAGAGCAGCACTTGGAAAGTGCGCAAGACGCCCCGTTCGGCGTGCACGGCGGCCGAATCTCTTCGCAGTCCCAGACTGTCTCGTTCGTCACCACCCAGCGGTCCACCTCCCACAAACTGAAAGGGTCGCAAGTTTGGTTGCACGAACTCCAATGGTCATTCTTCTTGTAGCACTTTGCGCCAGGCTCGGAGCAGCACATGGTCTGTGCGCAAGACTCCCCGTTTGGCGAGCACTCGGAGTCTGTTGAAGCAACGGCATCAGCAGCATTACCAGCATCGGAATCAGTCGAAACATCGGTACTATCGATAGTGATGACCTCGCAGTCCCAGTGTGTGTCGTCCGTCTTGACCCAGCCGGTCTCCATCCACAAGTAGTTTGGGTTGCAAGTTTGATTGCACGAGCTCCAATACTCGTTCTTCTTGTAGCACTTCATGCCTGGCTCAGAGCAGCACTTGGAAAGTGCGCAAGACTCTCCGTTAGGCGTGCAAGGCGGCCGGATCTCCTCGCAATCCCAGACTGTCTCGTTTGTCTTGGCCCAGCCGCCGTCCTTCCACATGTAGTATGGGTTGCAGGTTTGGTTGCACGCGAACCAGTAGTCGTTCTTCTTGTAGCACTTCGAGCCTGGCTCAGAGCAGCACTTGGAAACTGCGCAAGACGCCCCGGTCTGCGAGCACGGGTCGCTCTCGTCAGGATCCGCTGATTCGTTGGCATCCGCGCTGGCGGCCTCAACAATGATAGCCTCAGGCGAGGCAAGAGTCGCGGCCCCCGTGGAGGGCCCCGCGCGCCAAGCCACAGCCAGCAGAGCCAGCGCCGCCGCAGCCGCCGACAGCGCTGCCGCCGCGGCCCGAGCGCGCTGCGCGTGCGGCGCGCGCAGGGCCCGCGCGGGGGCGACCTCTCCTGGCTCGCAGTCGCTTTCGAGAGGGAGCTGGAGCGGCAAGAACGGGCTCCTGTCCGCGCGCATGGCAGCGAATGATCGAACTACGGCGGGAGCCTGTCGGGCGGGAGCGCGAGAATCGGGCCCTGGGCAAAATTGGCTATAGATGATGATGACGATGAGAATATCGAGAATAATATGAATAATGCTACTGATGATACTGATAATACGAATAATGCTAAAACGGATTTCAATATTCATGCTGGCAATATTGAGTATGATCCTAACAATAACAAAAGAAATCCGCCGACCCCTTGGGGATCATCGGCGTGTGAGATGCTTCCCCCTCCCCAAACCCCTCCCCCGGGAGCCCGGTCCGGTCGATTTGGAGGGGGGGGGGGGGTCGAGCGCGAGCGGGGGGGGTCCGGGACGAGCGGTTCACGGGGCTTTTCCGAGCCCAAGAGGGCCTCAAGACGGGCCAAGAAGCCCCCAAGAGGCCTCCAAGACGGCCCACGAAGGCTCCGAGACGCCAAACGACCGGTCCAAGACGCCCACGATGGCCCCAAGACGGGCCAAGAGGTCTCCAAGACGGCCTCCGAGGTCCCAAACAAGCCTCCCAAGAGGACCCCAAGAGTCTAAAATTGTTGATTTTCCATAGTGTTTTTCTATGTTTTTTGCTTTTCCGCCTTTTCGGCTTCCCGACGCTCCAAGACGGCCAAAGAGGCCCCCAAGAAAGCCCCAAGATGGCCCAAGAGGCCCCCAAGACGGCCTCCAGACGGCCCAAGACGGCCCCAACACGGCCCAAGATGTCCCCAAGACGGCCCAAGAGGGCTCCAAGACGGCACCAACAGGGGCCCAAGAGGGCGACCAAACATGTTGAAACTCTAGCTTTCTGCCCCCAGGAGCCCCAGGGGGCCCCAAGAGTGCCCCAAGAGGCCCCCAGAGGCCCTCACGAGGCCGCCCAGACGCCCCAAGGAACCCCCAAGAAGCACCCCAGAGGCTCCAAAACGGCCCCCAAGTGGCTCCAAAACTCGCTTTTCACCCCTTCGCAGCATCTACTACCCCCAGATTGGCATAAACAAGGGGTCGGCGGTGTGGCGTAAGCCTAAGAATAAAAACAAGAATGAGAATCACACTAAGAGAAAGAGGAATAGTAAGAACAATCAGAAGACTACGATTCGTAATAACAAAAAGAATAAAAGTACTACGACCAATCATAATGAAATTACGATAAACAATACTGATACTTATACTACGAGTTGCATGAGTAATAACAATGATGATGATGATAATGATGATGATGATGATGGTAATGATGATGATGATGATGAT